ATTTAGTTCCTAAAATGGCTCAAGTATTCAATAACACAGAGGTATCACGCAGTACTAAAAAATCAGGCTTAATAACAGTTTGAGCGAAACTCAGCTTATTGAATTCAGCACTACATGCAATATATGGGTTGAAATTTTAGGTATAGATAAGAATGGTAGACATTACCATCTAGTTGGGTCTTTTGATAGTAAAAATGCTTCCGCGTTATCTCCATACCAAACAGGAAAAGAAATTTACTGAATAGATAAAAAAGATACTTAGTATGGCTATAGCGAGCTTTCACCTAATGAAATATTAATGTAAATATACCATACTTCGGCCAGGATACATACTTTAAAGATGAAGTCTTCTTCTAATATTTTATATAATAATTCTGGAGAAGCCTTCATATTTTTATACTGGTTTCAAGCTCTATTAATATTATTTACTTACTCCTCGGCAGACAATTCAAAGGGGATTCTGGGTTGAAAGGTCTTGGCCTCATATTTCTGTCTTATTCGATAATTCATTGCATGATACTTTGCAGAATATTTGAAACAATATTTGGTGCAATACCCTGAATCAGTATCAGTAGGAAATCCACAAACCAGGCATGATCTTTTTTTCATATTTTTTTCATATAATTTCCAGTGTCTTGAACAACCAGTAGTATGAGTACAAATTCCCTCACAAATAGAACCATCTCTCTTGATATACCAGCAAGTAACACGATCTATGTAAGTATTTTAGGATATAACCACTTTTCACTTTTAATTTTATAATAATATGTGTATTTAAATTATTCGGTATTAAGATAAGTTATAAATAACTTTCATATTAATGCTATAGACATATTAGACCAATCGATAAAAGCTCACAAAAAAATCTATAATCCTAAAACTAATTGCATGATAGCTATAAATGGGCCAGTATATCATAAATTATTACTCAGAAGGTATATGCATTAGAAAGAAGAAAGGCTTTTAATCCCGCTTTTACATGAATTACCAATATTAAGAAGATATCTTTCTTTCATTTCCTATCGTATCTGGGATATTGTATCAGAAAGAAGTTTACTAGCAGTGATTAATGAAAAAATAAGCCTATTGCAGATTTTACTCAAAGCTAATTAGCACAACCTCACCTTATGCTGACTATTAAAATTATGCTGGAGGAATGAAGAGATGAAAGCTTGGAGGAATGACATACTCATGAAATTTCTCCATCATCTGAATTTAGCTCCGTCAAAGTATAGGTCAAGTGTTTTATATGATGCATTTATCAAGATAGATATTTTAAGGTCAGAGCATATATTAGTTCTAGTGCATGTACTTTACTAAAATGTAAATCAATATAGATAATTTGTTCATAGCCTTGGAATAGGGGTTCTTGGCTATATATTTTTTTGCATATCCTATCTATTCGTAAATTTCAAATCAATGTGATTAGAGCGAGAGTTATATATTTTTCCTTTCTCTAACCCTCTAATAATTTTTACTGACCATGGGGTAGATAAATAGCAGAATAAATTTTTCAAATTGAACTTTTTCAGATATAGAATAACCTAAGGGTTGCACATAATCTAGTAGTTACTTTACAAGCTATATCTACACAACCATGTCTGCAATTATAATAAAGTACGTTGCAGAGCACAAACTCAGTAAAGATATGAGTGATGAAGAACTTAGTAAGCATGCTCCAGAATTACTTAAGCTTTTGACAGATAAATTGAAAAGAGACAAGGGTCGTCAGCGCTTTCAAAAAGGATATAATTTTAGTAGAGAGCAGGCATTTATACTAATTCCTGATCAGAAAATTTGTCAAAGTAGAAGTCGGGTAATCTTCAAAAAAGGAGAAGATGTTAATATATGTCAAGTATCTGACATCATCACAGATGAAGAAACCATCGAAAGTATAGCCTAACGTATTGTTCGAGATAATCTTAGTGAACAAGAAGTAAAGGCGATAACCAAAGCTTTAACTATAATGCCCCCTAACTTTATCACTATCACGTCCTGTCTTAGTAGGCTTTGAAGAGAATTGCGAAAACTTAATACCTCAGAAAAAATAATCTCTGCTATATTAGACGAAAAAACAACCTGCGCATCTAATAAGATTCAAAAGGAGCATAGGAATCAACGTGAAAATGAAAGGATTAATTTTCCAGATCACTTCTAATTAGAATCGGTTAAGGAGAGACTCAATTTCTATGATATATCTAATACACCCGATGTGCAAGTTCTAGCTGATATAATGATAATACTCTGCGTCCATTCTGCTAAAATTAAAGACTTGCGCATATCTAATGGAGGTGTAACTTGATACGCAAAAAATCGAGGCCAACAGGATAATTCTCAGATATTTAGATCATTAGAAAGAGATGAAGAGCAGGTTAAACTTCTTCTTACTTAGATTTAGGATTCAATTTCTTCTGAACAGTTGAGGGATCCAGGAGTGCCAGGAGTTAAATGGTTTAATATATTTCTAAAAAAAGATAGATTTCTTCCTGAAACTGGTAAACCACTTCTTCCTAGCTATTTGCATAAATTAGAGGCAGTATTTGCAGTCATATCAAATAGTGCGAAGAATTTATCAGATGCTATAACCATCGCCATTAAGCCCTTCAACATTCGTCAGACAACCATTCCTCCTTAATGCAAAACTATACTATAGTCAATTTTCGAAAAAGAGAACAGCCTTATGATCAGGTAATGGCATTTGAGCTCTTTAATGAAAACTAATTACATATATATGGGTTAGAGGATCAGGATATCATTTATTAATTTTATTTTTTCAGTCAAAGTTATTAAGTTTAATAGATAAATAATCAAAATGGAAAGTGACCAAAAGCATCTGACAGTCTTAACCAATATTCTGCCTAAGTCTACTTCATCTGAGACTAGTTTATCTAAGAGTAGTTCCTCTGAGATTAGCTCATCCGAATCCAGTTCATCCGTTCCTCCTACATACTACTAGATCCTATGTAGTCCTAGAGGGACCTGTTAACTTACTGCAAAATATAAACTTATAGAAATCTGATAAGCTTATTTGCATCACAGAGGATAAAGTCCAACAAAAGCTAACAGAAGGCTTTGCTCAGAATATCAAACAACTTGACAAACAAACAAGAGAAAATGAAAGCGAAATGAGAACTATTTTGACTATCTGTATGGGGTTGTGACGTCTGTCAGGGATTGGCATTTTCTCCTCTATTCTCCAGGTGAAATTTTACAGGCGAGTAAAGCCCCCTTTAGCATCAAATTTGTCAAAGAGACTCTGGTTGAGAACTCCAAAAAATATAAAACATTGCGTAAGGGTGTTAAGAAGGTTTTGGGTATAATCATTAGCTTGTTGGAAGATAAGGCATGTATAGAGGATAAATTGGATAGAAAGAGAGCTAGGATAGAGGGGTATCGCTTGAAAAAATAATCATATATATTAGCCTAGACGTCATGTATCACAGGCTAAGTCCTGAACTTTGTATTTATCTTTCGCATGAATATTTTTTTCTTGGCAAAGTGATCAGTGTGAACAATTGTTCACGCGCACGTGATTTTTGATCATGAAGATTCTTCACGATTACACTATCAAACTTCCCGAATGAATGAAAGTGTAGTTAGCAATATTAGCGATAATTGTAGAAATTTACCGTAAATGTAAGAGCGAAGAAATAATATGACGCAGGGTAAATGGCCTAGTCTTCACGTACTCCCTCCCTTGAAAGCATGTCATATATTTCGCTAAGTGAATTTACTGAAAAAAATAGCAAAATCTCACTGCGGAGTCAATGCCTTTCATTACAAATACAATATCTTTTGGGCTAGACTTTTCTCATTTTCATAATAAATAAAAATATGTTTTCGCTTAAAAATGTAAAATTATGCTTTATTAGGTATTTTGTATTATAGTATCACCATAAAATAACAAAATAATCACCATAACATAACCTTATAATATATTACTTTATTTAGCAGATAAGTCGACTTTTAAAACCCATTGCTCTACAAACCTCAGAACAGGGGACTCCTGTTTGACTGGCCGATACATTGAATCATCTGAATCTTTATCATCAATATCTTTATCTTTATCTTTATGCTTTGTTACATACTTTTGATATGTGAACCCATTGTAAACATCATCCGGCACAACGAAAAAAAATCGAATTTTATTTCCTCTTTTGAAGGCTGGCATATTTTGAATTACCTTGATGAGCTCATTTTTTTTAATGGGGTGTTTGTTAGACACCGTAATTTGAAATATTTTATCTTGCATCAGAATTAAATCTACTACTCTAAAATTTGTCACAGTCGGACGGATGACGATGTTGTCCTCATTATATTTTAACAGATCTTTTACAGTTCGGATATATGTGTATTCTTCAAATCCTAAAATTAGGAAGTGTTGTTCTTCATTCTAATAATAAACCAAAAAGAAAAGATTAATTTCTCTATCACTATTGAAAATGATCATATGAAATCTTATCTCAGTTTCTTCTAGACATTTTATTTCAAAATCGTTTCTATGCTTAAAAATGTTTAGCACATACGTCTCAAACAAAATTTCTCTAGCATTAGAAGAATCAAAAGGATCCCAAATTCTTCGCAAGAGTTTGTCCTATCTATTCTGTTCTAGTTTATCCATAATTTTATTATAAACATAATTGAAGGCCCAACGGAGGGAGTGATTATTGTAAGTGTACGTAGAATCCAACCATCGATGAATAATACAACTGCTGATCTTAACATAAGTAGCTTTACTTGAGAAGCATAGTAAAAATTCATTCAAGTCTGAGATGCTCAAAATAGAATTTTCAATGCGCCTTAAAGATAGTTCAACAATTACTTCTTCACTTTCAGCTTGTTTAATTAAAGTTTTGGCATTTCAATAACATATCGTGGCACTCCACCTGCTTTATCATAAAGCCTAAGCATCAAATCTTTTGGAACACCTGGGAAGATGTGTTTTTGGCAAACTTTCAATTCCTTTATTATTCACGGTGACATGCAGTATATGTTTACAACTACTTTAGAGAATTCATCAAAGTTTTTGTTTTCTTTGTAGCTAACAGGTGATACAGCAAGTACAGTTTTTGCCTTAAGTTTTGGGCAGGGGGCATGGCATCCACTAGATACCATGTATTGGGATCATACAGACAATATGAAATATCCTCAAAAGATCCAACGCCTAGTTTTGAATTCTTAAAACGATAGAAAAGCTCACTTTGTGTTGTTTGAAAAATGACCGTGACATCATTGGAACTACATAAAATTTGGATTAAGAGATAAAGTAGAAAATACGATTTGCCAATTCCTGATGTGCCGTTTATAAGGAACTTAGGATCAAGTTCCTCTTTGTTAACTATCTGATAAAGGGCTTTGTAATCTTCTCGAATATATAATTTAGGTTGTTGAATAATTGGAAGATCTTTTCTAATGGGGTGTTCGATAAAATCTAGTTTTTTCCAATTAGTTGATTCACGTTTCAGATGAGCAACCACTTCCAATAAGTCGTTAAATGATGGATCTGAAAAATTCGTTAGCACAAAGATTACTAAGGAAAGTAACCTATTAAAAGTTTTGGTAATCCTTAAACAGCAAAAGCTTACCTCCTACTTCTGTTTCTAATTTTAACCGCTTGATCGGACGTTGTTCTATTAGAGAGGAACAAGATGTGAGATAACGCGAATTTTTTATTCGAGAGGTAAACCATTGGGAGACACTTACCAATGGTGGCGAGCGGCGGCAGTTCCACGATGATGTGGATGTGTTTAACAGCAGGTTGCCCTTTAAAATAATCTCAATAATATTGAGGTCGCTGTTCAGTTCCTCACCTCCAAACTTTACTTTGACATCGATTCCTTCATATATCTTATGTTTCTCACTTTCAGGAATATTGATTTTCCATAATTTCAGTTTGTGTGCGGGACTATCCAATCCTACCTGCTCCTTGATGACTATCTTGAGATGTCCTATGGTCTTGCCTGTATTGAAATCAACAGGAAATGCATTCTTTTCGCCTAAAACGATACAACCTAGCATAATTTCGATAATATCTGCAATCACGAAAATCGAGAGTTAAAACAGGGTTTAAAACAGATTTGCAGTAAATACAAATAAAGACCTTGTTGGAGGACTATCTAGAGGATTATTTAACGGGCCTTTCGTTCCATTCTTTTTGTATATAAATAACAGTTTTCTGTTTACATAATATCTCTGTGAGTGTTTCGAAGAAAAATACTATGCGTACGAAAACTTACCAAATTCTAGCTAAAAACAGGTTTCGTACGTCCTAAGCCTCAGATTGCATAATATGATCTTTATCGCGTTATCACGATTGATTGAAAAAATAAATGCGCAATACTATTAATTTTTTCTTACTGCGCCGTTATATTATTTTCTTCGAGCCTGAGCTCGTTTAAAAGAAACCAAAGTATCGTAGTTTGAAAGAAGCGTTGGTGAATAATTATTTAAGTGAAATATACTTCTTTTCAGTGTGAATTTATAAGAAAACGACTTCAGAACTTTCAAGTGAATGTAATTTCTACTAGCATCACAGAATACAAACAACATAAATTTCGGAGGAGCTTTACTATAACTAAAAGTACATTTTTGTTTTATCGATGATTGGAGTGAGATAATGTGTATTAGTAGTGTATGCAAGCGAAAAATGCAGGTATTAGCATAGAAACTTTATTTCACTTTGTAAACAAGTTTATGTATTACCGAATCTTGTAATTTATTTTTTATATCAATAAATCAGTAATTCCAATCGTGACATTTTGTCTCAGTTTTTTTATCTATGCTAACGAACTTTTGAATTATTCTATTTTATATAAAAAATTATTATCGAACATGCAATCTATTGATTCATTGAGAGAATTAAATTCCAAGCTCTTAGCTGAGATTGCCAAGCTTAGAAAGAAGAATGATAAGATTCCTGTACTTGAAAAGGAATTTGCTGAAGTTGAGGCTGAGAATGCGAGGTTGAAGCAAATTATTGAAGAGAATGCAAGGCATGATGCTGAGAATGCTGAACTCAAGTCTAGAGTTGAAGAGCTTAAGGCTAGACTTGCATTATTAGAACAGGGTTCAGCAGTGGATGGGATGGTGTTGTTATTTGGTCAGTCACAAAATGATAAAGAAGCGATGCCAGTGGTGACAGTACCAACTGTTGATATACCCGATTCTGTAATAAACCAACTCAATAACAAAGTAGGACGAGCAACTAGTGACCTTGATGGTAATGATGAGGAAATGGTCAATTTCTTGGATGAGACGTATAAGAAAAGCATTAGCAATAAGATTAGAGAGAGGAAGCAGAAAAAGAAGCAGGGAGATCAAAAGGCACTTGTAATTTCTCAGGATGTGACTAAAATTCCTAAGGTTACAGACATGTTAACTTCAAAGTAAGACAAGCAAGACTTATCACAATCTTATGAGGCTAGTTCTGAGAGCATAAGATTAGCATCTTGCGTCTTATCAAAGTAATCACAAGTTAATGCAACTAAATTAGCATGTAATCTTGAAAACCGTGAAGATTCTTCACGATCAGAGTCATATGACATGGAGGAACTTAAATCCGATCAGCATGATGAAGTTATTGTCAAGTTGGATAAAAATATAATTGTGAAATAGGAGTTAAAGCAACAGTTATCATCACCTGTACATATATCTATGTTAGATCAAACTTCAGAAGAATAGGATCCATCTTCAGATATCGCACAAAATATAGTTTGTATGTTTAGGAAAGTTAATAAGCTTAATTAAGAAGCAATTTTGTACTGGTACTACTTTATAGAAAAATATGACAAAAGGATTGATAACGTTGTTACTGGTGGAGTTAAGAAAAAAACTGCAACATCTATGGTATATCAAGAAATCAAACAGCTTTTACCTAATATAACAGATGTAAATTTGCATCAAAAAATCCTTAGAGCTAGAAAATTATATAAATTATTCAATACATTAGGACTAGAGAAAATTAAACAAATCTTCTATAGCGCAGATGCTATTTTAAGCCTCAATTACTCACAAATACAAAATATTATAGATCATATGAATTCAGCGACAAATTCACACAATGAAACTGTGAAGATACTTCATAATCAGAGTCATGTGACTTCAAAAATTAATCTGACTAATGCATATATTCCTCTAAAAACTGAGTCAAGTACATTAGCAAATGTATTATCTGCAATCCAATTTAAACTAATTTATGATCGTAACAAGATATTGGATTAATATCCTAATCTATATAGAGAATGTAGTAATGAAAATTTTGATTATTATAGGATTACTGATGAGACAGCATGCGGGGTCTCGAGAGAAACCATCTGCCCATTATGCAAATTAGGTCATGATGATAAAGAAATAGAAGGTAGGTATAAAGCAGGATCTTACTTTATTAAATGTGAATAGCATGAAATTGAGATAGTTACATAGTCTCATTGCTTTACAATAGTCTGGGAATTTTAATCTTTTTTTTTGAATGAATAAGTCTATATGAGAAAAAAGGGATTTAAATTGTTTACAGTCATATAAAAAGGAAAATGACTGAGTCTGTTAAAATACTAATCACCGATTATCTGAATTAACATACCAAATTAACTGGTTACCAAGTATTTTGACAGATAAGATTCATTCTAAATTATACAAAAAATATAAAAAAGAAACTGGCAATGAGCCATGACAATTATCAGAAGTACATGAATTGGAAGTCATAAATTTGATGCCAGAAAACAAAGTATCATCTTTTTCCGAGCAATGTGAAGAAGAAAGACTTATCACTTTTGAAGTTAGACCCACTCCAGAATTAATTATCAAATCTGTCTTAGAGCACTTCCTATACTTGAAATTCCAAAATAGTTTTAGAGGGATTGATAATTATAATTTTGCATCACTTCAGCCATGGAGCTCACTATGTCCTATTTGCGATGAAAAACATGGAAATTATAGATTACATGGCAAATGGTATAGGAATAGAACAGAATATTATCTTTCTTGCTTCACTTTAAGAAATAAATTCAGATTTACGATCATAGCATAGACTAGTCATGTGAAATCAATACGCAGTTAATATTTTTGCCTAGGCTATGCAATGCAAAATTTACATGTGCAATTTTTTTAAAACAAAAGTGTTATAATTTCTTTCGAGTAAGTATATTAGAATATAGAATAGAGGGTTATTGCACGAAAAAAGAAAGTCCACAGTAATTAATATAAAACATTATACAGTATATCACAGGCATTGTCCCATTTATTTAAAAATTGGCTATACCTTTATATTGATCTAATGCTAACCGCAGTGCATCTATTTTTAATGTTTTATTAATAAACTGTGTATCGTCATGCATTTTTTCCTGAAAGTTCTAGTAAATAATTTAGTTTTTCATGAATTAATGATTTATGAGTGTCCCTGATCATAATGCTAGAATAGAACGAAAATGGAAATTAGGGTAACAGATTGACTTAATTGCCACAGAAATTTTCTATGTGATCACTAATTAATATTTCATTTTTGGTGAGTTAATTGGATTTGTCATATTAACGAAAATTTCTCCCAAAGATCTTAGACTCATTGCAAAGTATATAAAAAAGTAGGTCTAATTAGTGAATCTTTTTATCCACCTTGTATAAGTAAAACAAAAAATCAAGCGAAATATTCAAACTATTAAACTTACCAATATTTACATCGTTAATATTCTTGATTAAACAAACTTTTATATTTTGCAAAATAATAATAAGGTATATTAATTTTATTACTCAGCTAGCTTCTTGAAACATGTTATCACGATGTTAATTGATTTTCTCACCTCTATAGATGATCTAAAATAAAGCAGACATAATACTCTTTTCACTATATATTAGCATTTTAATCTTCGCTGAGAAAATCTCTGATTACAGTCAGGGATTTTACTAAATATAGAATTTCTAAATACAGTGTTGATCGACAAATGATCGACATTCTAGAAGTTCATAAAAATTTGCCAATCATTCTAAAATTATAAATGATCGACAAATTGAAATATATTAAATATATTAACCATAACTGGTGAAACCGGCAAAAATTGATGAACCTGTCAAATATGCCAAATATGCCAGATCTGCTAGATCTGCCAAATCTGCTATATCTGTTAAAAAGGACATACTTAATATTTATTATATTTTTATTATTTGTATCATTATTATTATTTATAACATATTTTACATAAT